ACCTTCACCCTAAACCTGCACCCCAAACCTGCACCTCTAAACCTTCATCCCAAACCTGCATCCCAAACCTGCACCTCTAAACCTTCACCCCAAACCTTCACCCCAAACCTGCACCCAAACCTGCACCCCCAAACCTGCATCCCTGAACCTGCAGCCTGCAAGTCTTCACCTCCAGAACCTGCATCCCTAATCCTGCACCCCAAAGCTACATCTCCCAATCTGCACCCCTACTCTGGCAACCTGGAAAACCTTCAGAACCTGCATTCCCAGTCCTGCACCCTTCACCTGCACCCCAAACCTTCCCCCCCTAATATACCTGCAAACCTGAATCCCAAACCTGCACCTCCAGAACTTGCACCCCTAAACCTGCACCTCCCAATATGCACCCCAAACCTTCTCCCCTAAACCTGCACTCCAGACCTGTTCCTCAGACCTCCATGCCTAAACTTCTTCCCCTAAACCCACATCACCCAATCTGCCCCCTCAACCTGTACCCCAAACCTGCACCTCCAGAACCTGCACCCAAACCTTTACCCCAAACCTGCACCACTCAGTTTGCACCCCTAGAATCTGCACCCCAAACCTGCACCCCAAACGTACACCTCCCAATTGCACCCCAAACCTGCACCTCTCAATCTACACCTCTAAACTTGCACCCCAAGTACCCATATCCCAACATCTTTACCCACAACCTGGACCCCAAATCTGTACCCCATATCTGCTCTGTCAGAACTTGAACCTCTCAATCTGCATCCCCAAAACCTAGTCCCCTCGATCTGCACCTCGATCTGCACCCCTAAACCTGCACCCTGCAAATCTGTAGCCCCATAACCTGTACCCCAAACTCGCATCTCAAGCCTGCATCCCAAAAACCTGTACCCAAAAATCTAACCCCTAACCCAAACTTCTAAACACGCGCCCCCTAATCCACACCCTGCACATCTATCCCTCAGAAAGTGCCCCTTAAACATGCACATCTAAACCCACACCCCAAATCTGCACCCCCAAACCTTCCTCCTTTCTGTACCCTTAAATTGCATCCCACCAATCTCCTACCTCAAACCTGCAGTTCTCAATCTGCCCTCCTTCCTGCACCCCAAAACCTTCACTCCCAATTCTACCCTAGACTTGCCCCCAGAATCCTGCAGGCCCAAATCTGTCCTGCAAATTTGCTCTCCCCTCATAGACCTACACTCCTCACTCTGCACTCCCAACTTGCTACCTCCCACCCTGCACTGCCAAATGTACGCCCACAGGTCTGCCCCCAAACCTGTACTTTCAAATCTATCCCACAAACCCACAACCCCCAAAGCAGTCTCAGTGCATCCCTTCATTTTGTGCCCTGCAAACCAGCACCTCAAACCCAACCCCCCAAAACCTGATCCCCATCCTTTTCCCCTTGCAGTCTCCCTTTCCAACTTCTCAGTCTGCCCCCAGTCCACCCCAGCAAATTCCCCCACAACACTCTTCCCCAAATTCTCCCCGCTGACCCTCAGCCCCCCATCCCTCTTCCCACAGGACCTCAAGGGCCAGTACTGGACGGACGATGACTCCGATGGGGACAATGAGTCCGAGGAGTTCCTCTATGGGGTACAGGTAAAGCCACTGGGGGAGTAGGTGCCACGGGGGGGATCCTGGCCCCCTCTGTGGGGCTGTGGAGACTCTGGCTGTGACGGCGCTGTTGCAGGGAACCTGTGCCGCCGACCTGTACCGACACCCACAGCTGGACGCCGACATCGAGGCTGTGAAGGAGATCTACAGCGAGAATGCTGTGTCCGTCAGGTGGGTGTGCCTGTGCTGTGACTTGCCGGGACACCTGGCTGTGACAGTGCCTTGTCACCCCGTGGTGGCACCCCCAGGACCCAGACTCACACCCGCCGCCGTGCCACGTGTCGTTGCAGGGAGTATGGGACCATCGACGACGTGGACATCGACCTCCATGTGAACATCAGCTTCCTCGATGTGAGTCCCCGTGGCGCAGGGGGGATCCGGTGGGGGGGCTCTCGGGTCCCCACATCCTACTTGATGTCTCCGTGGCTGTCTCTCGGCAGGAGGAGGTGGCAACAGCCTGGAAGGTGCTTCGGACTGAGCCCATCGTCCTGCGCCTGCGCTTCTCCCTCTCCCAGTACCTCGATGGCCCCGGTGAGTGGGGACGGGCGGTCAGGGGATGCCTGCATGGCTGTGAGCGCTGTGCTGACCAGCAGCTCTGTGCCCACAGAACCGTCCATCGAGGTCTTCCAGCCATCCAACAAGGAGGGCTTCGGGCTGGGGCTGCAGCTGAAGAAGTAAGAACTAAAATGAGGGGTGGCGGGGAGGGGCAGGTCACTTTTCATAGAATCATAGAATCATTTGATTTGGAAGAGGCCCTTAAAGGCCATCAGTCCAACCCCCCTGCAATGAACAGGGACACCTGCATCTCCATTAGGGGCTCAGAGCCCCCACCAGCCTGACCGTAGCTGTTTCCGGTGACAGGGCATCCACTGCCTCTCAGGGCAAACTTCATCTCCGGATCACCCAGGTCCCACATGTCCCTGTCACACCATGTCCTCTTGCTGGCCCTACAGCTCCAGGACAGGCTGGTCACTGGGTTTCCAAGGGGTGGAGCAGGAGATGTGCTCAGCTGAAGCACCCACCTGGGCACCCATGTCACCTCTCTGCCAGGATCCTGGGCATGTTCACATCGCAGCAATGGAAGCATCTCAGCAACGACTTCCTGAAGACCCAGCAGGAGAAGCGGCACAGCTGGTTCAAAACGAGCGGCACCATCAAGAAGTTCCGAGCCGGCCTCAGCATCTTCTCCCCCATCCCCAAGTAAGGTTCCAGTGACGTCCCCACCTTCCCCAGTGCCTTGTTTCCCCCATTTGCTGAGGAGAACAGGAGCTTCCAAAAACCCCAAAAGCAGGAAGGTGAAAATTCAGTGCTGGATGTATAGGAACAGAGGAGCTGGGCGGGAAATGGCCCTCTAGGGAGGGTGATGGTAACAAGTGTCTCTTCGATCCCATGCCCGCAGGTCTCCCAGCTTCCCTGTCATCCCGGACTCAGTGTTGAAGGGCAAGCTGGGTGCTCCCGAAGTGCGCGTCAACCGCCTGATGAACCGCTCCGTCTCCTGCACGGTGAAGAACCCTAAGGGAGAGGTGTTTGGCTACAACCCCAGCACCCAGGCAGGTGTTGCTCCCTTCAACATCCTGGTGGGTGTCAACACCGGCTCGGGGCTCTCTTTGCTCTCCCTCCCCTTCCCACGTGGCGTCAGGGGTGCATGTCCCCACTGTCCCTGCGGGATGGCCTTAGGGCCCCCAGGGCTTTCGGGAGATCCTGATGCTGTGTGAGGGGTGTGGGAAAGGGGTAATGCATCTGGCGCCGCTCTGGCTCCATCGCAGGTCGGTGGCCACTGTAAGAACGTCCCCACGCTGGAGTATGGCTTCCTCGTCCAGGTGAGCACCCCACGGCACTGTCCCCGCAGTCCCTTTATCAATCTCGGGGCCACCGTGGGGCTGACCCTGCGCCTTATCCACAGATCATGAAGTATGCAGAGCAGCGCATCCCAACGCTCAACGAATACTGCGTGGTGTGTGACGAGCAGCACGTCTTCCAGAACGGCTCCATGCTCAAGGTGCTGCAGTGCTGGGGGACAGAGGTTTGTGTCACCCTGTGTCACTGTCACTGAGTGCCTGTCCCCTCTGCAGCCAGCTGTGTGCACCCGGGAGCTGTGCGTCTTCTCCTTCTACACCCTGGGTGTGATGTCCGGTGCAGCAGAAGAGGTGGCCACAGGCGCTGAGGTACACGGGGAGTGACATAAGTGGGTGACACGAGGGTGGAATCTCTGAGGTGACCCCGTGTCCATCTTGGTGGCCAGGTGGTGGACCTGCTGGTGGCCATGTGCCGCGCTGCACTGGAGTCCCCCCGCAAAAGCATCATCTTCGAGCCTTATCCCTCCGTGGTGGACCCCAACGACCCCAAAACACTTGCCTTCAACCCCAAGGTAAGCAGCAGGGTGGTGTGCCCCAGCACTGCGCACTGACACCCTTCTGACGGCCACCCCACTGCTGCCCCACATGCAGAAGAAGAACTACGAGCGGCTGCAGAAGGCGCTGGATAGCGTGATGTCCATCCGGGAGATGACCCAGGTATGTGGCAAGCCCTAGCTCTGCATCCTGGCACCATTTTGGATGTCTGCATGGGATTTTGATGCCTGTCTCCGTAGTGGGTTGGTGACAGGGTTTTTCATGGTGCTTGTGCCTCTGCCAGGGCTCCTATCTGGAGATCAAGAAGCAGATGGACAAACTGGACCCGCTGGCACATCCCCTTCTGCAGTGGTAAGACTGAGGGGTGCTAAAGAGATGGGATGGGGTGGGGTGGGATGGGATGGAATGGGGTGGGGTGGGATGGGATGGGATGGGATGGGATGGATGGGATGGGATGGGATGGGATGGGATGGGATGGGATGGGATGGGATGGGATGGGATGGGGTGGGGTGGGATGCGATGGAGTGAAATGTGGTGGAGTGAAATGTGGTGGAGTGGAGTGGGATGGGATACAACAGAATCAAAGAATCATTAAGGTTGGAAAAGTTCACTAAGATCGTCTAGTCCAATCATCAACCCATCCCCACCATGCCCGCTGACCATGTCCCTCAGTGCCATAAGTCCAGAGTTCTTGAACACCTCCAGGGTTGGTGACTCCACCACCTTCCTGGGCTGCCTGTTTCAGTGCCTGACCACTTTCTGAGAAGAATTTTTTCCTAATATCCAAACTGAACCTCTCCTGGCACAACTTGAGGCCATTTCCTCTCGTTCTATTGCTGGTACCTGGGAGCAGAGACCGACCCCCACTTTGCCACAGCCTCCTGTGAGGGAATTGTAGGGAACAATAAGGTCTGCCCTGAGCCTCTCCTCTTCTTCAGGCTGATCCCTCCCAGCTCCCTCAGCTGCTCCCCATAACACTTGCACTCCAGACCCCTCACAGCTCCGTTGGCCTTCTCTGAACATGCAGGGCCTTAATGTCTTTCTAACAGTGAGGTGTCCAGAAATGAACACAGTAGTGTGAGGATGGATTGCGCTGTGATGCAATGGGATGAGATGCAGTGGGATGGGATGTGATATGATGGGATGGTATGGAGTCAAAAGTGTTTAGGGACTAGTGGGACTCAGGTGGGACTGCTCTATCTCATCTTCCTTCTATCCTGCTCCCACAGGATCATCTCCAGCAACAGATCCCACATTGTCAAGCTGCCCCTCAGCAGGGTAAGTGGCATGGCCAGAGCTGTGTGGGTGTGAGCTGTGCAACGTAAGATGTGGGGTGTAAGGTACAGGGGGTGGGATGTGCAGTATGGGTGTAGCTACAGGTTGTGCAGCCACCGTGTGAGATGGAGGATGCAGGATGTGGGATGGAGGATGTGGATGGAATATGGGAAGCTGGAGGAGGGATGTAAATGTACGGGTATGGCATGGAGGTCTGAGGGCATGGGATGCGGGTTGTGGGATAAGGGATGAAGGACATGGGGTGTGCACTGTGGGATGCAGTATTGGGACACAAAACAGGATGCTGCAGAAAGCAGTGGGTGAGCTCCTAGAAATCCTGGCCCTCCTGCCATGGCCAAGCATCTGAAAAGCGCTGAGGTGGGAGCAGGGCTGGGGGCTGCCGTGCATGATCTGCGTCCGTCTGTCTCTCCTCTCTCCTTGTTGGCGCTGCCTTTGCTCTGCCCTTTCCACTGGTAGCAGCTGAAGTTCATGCACACCTCGCACCAGTTCCTCCTGCTGAGCAGCCCCCCAGCCAAGGAGGCCCGGTTCCGCACCGCCAAGAAGCTCTACGGCAGCACTTTCGCTTTCCAGTGAGCAGCTGCGGGGCGGTGGGGGTCTGTGGGATCCCTATGGGGCGCTGCAGGGCCGGGTGCCGTGGGGCTGACGCCGGCTCTTGCAGTGGCTCTCACATTGAGAACTGGCACTCCATCCTGCGCAACGGGCTGGTCAACGCGTCCTACACCAAGCTGCAGGTACCGCTCGCCGATGCCGGTTCCGGATCCGGGCAGGTGGGGAGGGATATGGGCAGCCCCAGGGGTGCTGTGGCCGTGCCTCGTGCCCACGCTGCCGCGGGTGCCGCGTTGCTCACCCCGGTGTTTTCCTGCAAGCTGCATGGAGCAGCCTATGGCAAGGGCATCTATCTGAGCCCCATCTCCAGTATTTCCTTTGGATACTCAGGTAAGAGGCTGCCCGCTCCGCTGGTCCCACCTGTGCTCCCATCCCGCTCCCTGCATGGCACGGAGGAGCCGCGTGGCATCGGGATACTGAAGTGTCCCAGCCACATCCTGCATCCTTCTCCCGCACCGTCCTCTCCCCAGCAAATCGGGGCATTCTGACGCACCCGCTCGGTTATTAAGGGAAAAAGAACAGAGAATGGGCATTTCCTAGGCTGAAAAATTGACTTTAAGGTGACACGACAGCTGCTTCTTCCTTGTGCCGAATCCAAAAGGCACTGCCCCCACTGTGGGGGTTTGGGTTTGCCTGCAGGATGGAGCTCCTGGTGTGGCCATCCCAGGGGTGTCTGTGACACATGTCCTCACCACCGTCACCCTGCGTCACCCTGGGGTGCTGCTGCCCGGTGGCGGCCGTGTCCCCAGCCCACGGTGCCAGGAATGACCGCTGTGTCATTGTCTGCAGGGATGGGGAAAGGGCAGCACCGGATGCCTTCAAAGGACGAGCTGGTGCAGAGGTACAACCGGATGAACACCATCCCCCAGGTGACGTGGCGGGGACACGGGGCTGGGGCTGGGAGCGGGCAGGGGTGACACCAGTTGCTCTCCCTACAGACCCGCTCCATCCAGTCCCGCTTCCTCCAGAGCCGTAACCTGAACTGCATTGCGCTTTGCGAAGGTGCGGGGCCGTAGGGGCGATGGGGTTGGGTGTGCTGGTGTGACAGCCCCCACATGGCGCCCCTTCCCTCCACAGTCATCACCTCCAAGGACCTGCAGAAGCACGGCAACATCTGGGTCTGCCCCGTCTCGGACCACGTCTGCACCCGCTTCTTCTTTGTGTGAGTGCCAACCCCATCTCTGCGCTCACGGTCGCCCCGTGGGCACGGCTAACGCTTTTCCCTCCAGGTACGAAGACGGCCAAGTGGGAGACGCCAATATCAATACTCAGGACCCCAAAATCCAGAAGGAGATCATGCGTGTGATCGGGACTCAGGTGTACACAAACTGAACAGCGGGGACCCTGCTGCGGGGTGCTGAGCGACGGCCCTGGTCAGGGATGGGCGCGTGGGGTTGGCAGTGGGCGCTGGTGTGTGGGGATGCCGGAGGGTTGCAGTGGGACCACGGCTCCCCCCTGCACATAGGCGAGCAGTGGGGAGCGGGCTGCCAGTTCCCTTGTCCCCTACACCCCATCCCCGACCCCGTGCTGGTGGCCGTCCCTCCTCGCGTTTGTGGCGATGGCGTTTTTATTGATGAGAAACCGAAGCAAAGAAAACCCCAAAGGAATAGATACAAACAAACAAAAACAAAAAAAAAGAGGAAAGCGAGCTGTTGTGGTGGCGTGAAGTTCTTTGAGCACATCGCTGGGCTGAGGGCGCAGGGAAGGGGACACGGGGAGAGGATGTGAAGGCAGAGGGATGGGGACATAAGGATGGGATGGAGCTGCAAGGAGCGGTAGGCACGCGGGAAAGGATGGGCTGTTGAGAGATGCGGTGTGGCTGCTCCAAAGGGATCAGCGTGGTTGTGCCACGTGCTGCGGAGCAAGGGTTGCATCACAGAGAGCATCTGCTATCTGCTGTGCTCTGGGGACACCGGAGGGACGCCGTGGGGACAGGAGCAGAGACACACCAAGCAAGAGCTGCACTGGACTGTGCTTTATTTCAGCCGACACAGACACCAACAATGACAGAGGTACAGACGTCAGCCCGCACAGCCGATTCCCACTGTGTGCAAACCCCGAAGAAAGCCCCTAGATGGGGAGCTCGGCAGGGTGGAACAGAGGCAGCTTCACACTGAGATTAACCCAAACTAAATCAGCCCGACAGCCCGTGCCTTGCCTGCTCCCGCTGCTCGGCCCCGGGGACAAATTCCTTTGGGAAATGGCGATTCCCGGGAAAAACACAAAGCAAAATCCCCAAAGGAGCAGCTGTGTGCGCAGGTCGGGTCCGCGTGAGTCCGCAGCATCTCCTCCTCCAAACACACGGCTGGTGTCGGCCCGGCTCACAGCAGCCATTGCTCCAAAGAACAAACCAAGGTGACGATTTTGACAAAATAATTTTATTTCACTTTGCTTTGTTTCTGCCGAAACCTCACATTTTTTTATTTAATCGTTTTTGGCTGAAAAACAAAACAAAACAAAACAAAAAAAAGAATTCACAAAAGAGCCAAAGAAGCAAATCGCTTCGCCGTCTCCCGCAGGCGACCAAGGGCTCTTTTGGCCACGTTCACCCCCCAAAATCCCCTCTGCGTCCCCCCCGGCGCTTGGCCACAAACTGCCCCCCACACCGAGCCCTTGAGCCGTGCTCCTCCCGGCGCCGCTCGCAGCTCATGCGCCCGAGGCGTTTCATACATTTTTTTTCTTCCTGTTTTTTAAGTTTGTGTGTGTGTGTGTGTGTTTTAAATTAATTTATTTATATATATATTTAAAAAAGCAATAGTCCTTTGGTCCCTAAACTCTAAGGAATGATATGACTCTGAAACAAGTAATCCTATGTCCCTGTGCCAGTGACAAGCAGGGGGAAGCGCGTGTCCCGCTGCCCTGCTCCATGGGATATATATATATATATACTTATTTATATATATCTTCTATAAGTCCAACATCCTCTTATCCTTTTTCTTCCCTCTTTTTCCCAGCCAGACGTGGAAAAAAACCACCAAGATTTCCCTTTCCAAACAAGCATCCTCCAGGTGAATCGCCCGAGGCCGGTCTCGTCCCGCTGGCTTTGGTTTATAATCCATCCGGAGCCTCTTTTCCTCATTCCTCTTGGGAAATTTGTAGCAGCAAATGAGTGCTTATAAAAGGTAGCTCACATCCCGGCTGCCCGGGCCTCAGTCCTCTCCCGGCAGCAAATCTCAGCCCCAACGCCGCGTCGCTCTCCTCCTTCCTGCCTTCCTCACTCTCTCGTTCCCGTTAAGAAACAAACAAGACCGGTTGGAAAAAATAATCAAAAAAGAAATAGAAAAGCTACGACCAGAATGGCTCTCTTCTTCGCTTTTTTTTTTTTTTTTTTTTTTTTTTTTTTTCTTCTCTCCATCAACTCTTCCTCTTCTCCTTCCTCCTCCTCCGGGATATGTTGCAAAGAAAGAGAGTTACGGGTTTGGATACTGCACTTGGGGAAGGGGGAAGTCGGCAGACACCGCGGGACGCCCGACCTGCAAGACAGCAAATGCGCCGTGAGCGATCCAGGCAACTGCTGACCCACGAGATCCCACATCAGCGTGGTTTTAACCAAAACAGCCGCTCTTTATCCCAAGATAAACAGGCCTGTGACGCTGCCAGGTGCCTTCGTACCTCTCTGCGGGGCCAGGGTGCCAGGGGTCAGTAGGGTCTGTTGGCATCTTTCGGCCGCTTTAGCTGGACTTTTAGCCTCTTCATGCCGATCTGGAAGCCGTTCATGGCCTGAATGGCTGCCTGAGCGCTGGTCGGATTGTCAAAACTGACAAAACCTGGGGGTGAGGAACAGGGTGACACAGGGTTTGTCGCTGTCAATGCCACACTGAGCTGCTTGACTTCAACAGGGTCATGGCATAACTTCACCACGGGCCCCACGTTCCCCACAGGTGCTCACTCAGCCCAGGAACGGCCTCTGGAACGTGGGGCTGCATGGCACTGGGTGACGGCACCTTCAGGAACACGAGGTTTGTGGGGACACTGAGGTGATGGGGACCGTGGGGACTCTGGGGTGAGAGGATCTAGAGGGACACTGGGGTGATGGGATTGGTGGGGACCCTGCAGTGATAAGGCCCACATGCAGTCCGCAGGGAAACTGAGGTGACTGAACTCCCAGAGACACAAGGTCTGTGGGGATGTCAAGGTGAGCAGGTCTGTGGGGACGGTGAGGTGACAGTGGGGACACCAAAGGACATGGGTTTGCAGGGACACTGGAGGATGTGATCTGTGGCCACCGAGGCGATGCGTCAACAGCACAAGGAGTGTGGCAGCAGGAGGGTACATCCTTCTGTCCCCACACGGTGTGGTCCTTCAGCCCCACAGTGACAGCCACCACTGGGCTTTGCTCACACAACGACTTACCAAAGCACTTGCTCTGGTTGGTGGCACGATCCACAAAAACTTTGGCAGAGATGACATTGCCAAAAGGCAAGAACATCTGTGTGAGCTCCGCATCCCCGAACTCCTGGGGCAGGTGATAAATAAACAGGTTACAGCCCTCGGGACCTGGGTGACACACAAAGGACAGGGCCACACATCAGCTGCCAGGCGGGGGGCCACCAGCAGCACGCGGAGTGCGGGATGCCCCCCTTACCTTCTCGCTGCTGCTGCGGGATGATGGGCGCTTGCTGGGGGAAGGCTTGGCTGATGGGTGCGTAGGCAGTGGGATATGCTGCTGGAACAGAGAATGTGGCACTGAAACCCCGACGCAGGATGGGGACTGGCCCCCACAGGGACGTCTCCTGCTGCTACGCATCCCCAGAATGCTGGGTTTGGTGGCACAGAGGTTCAAGCACCCATGGGCACCGCTCTGGTAGCTGCTTTCCAAAGCCTCGACTCTCCCAACCACCTTCTATCAGGAAGCAGAGGGTTGGCACAGTGGGATGGTGCAATTGGGGTTTAAAACTTTTTGAGGTGTTTGCTCCCATGGTGATGGACATGGGAATGGCTCTCCCAAGGGAGATGCTGTGGGCACCAGGAATGTGCCATTACTGAGAAAGAAAGCAGCACATTCACTTGATTTTTATCAATGACCAGGGGTCAAGAACTTGGTTTTCCGGTGAAAATTTGGAAACAATCACCAGTGCTCCTAATTAACCTTCCTCCAGTCTGTCTCCAAAATCTGCCAGAGCACCAGCATGAGGGCAATAGGAACGCAGTGGATGGGATTAGGGGACTATGCTCTGAATCTGAATCGCCCCCATCACTGCCCCGCAGCTCCCACACCTCACACTTGCATCAAACACAGTAACGTGAGCCCAGTTCACTCCCAACCCGCAAAGAGCAGAGAGGGGAGAGATGAAGAAGTGCAAAGCCCAGTGTGAGACCTGCATAGTGCTGCATGCCCGCGTAGGCTTGCTGGAGGGGATCTGCCACTGTGGGGCTTTGAGCTAGGAAGAAAAAAGGGAGAAGGAAGAGAGTAAGCAAAGGGAAAGCAAGGACGGCTCCCGGCACTTGCTGAGAACGTGCCTGAGCCCCGCGGGGCGCTACCTGGGTAGGGGTGGATGCCGTTGGTGTAGATGGTCTCGGAGGCGGGCTGCCCGTTGGTCTGCGGCGGCAGCGGGCTGAAGCCATTCACGCCAATAGGTGTGGCGATGCTGGGCACGGGCGCCGTGCTGATGCCGGGCGGGGTGCTGGTACCTGTGAGAGGACGGAGGGCGGCTCAGCGCCGCTGCGGCCCCACGGCCACCGAGGGGGCGGCTGGAGGGAGGGTGGTCCTACCTGAAGAGGGGGTGAGGGGGGCAGCCACCAGCCCGCTGACGTTGAAGGCGGCCATCTGCTGCATCTGGGCGGCGGCGATGGCGGCCATGGGGTTCAGGCAGGTCCCCTGCGCCGCTGCCATCAGGGCCGCCTGCTGCTGCATGATCTAACAGGGGACAGCCGAGGAGAGAGGGAAAAGCGAGTGAGGCACAGAGGAAAAAAGGAGCGAGAAGGGTAGATCAGCACGTTCTGGCGAATTCCCCCCAAAAATCAGGTTCTGTCCCACGAGGCCCCGTACCGCCTGTGTGTAGGCCCCGTAGGCGCCGAACTGGATGGTCATAGGGTTGAAGATGCCCAGCTGCCCCGCCATCTGGTGCATCCGCCGCAGGGTCCTCTCCTTGTCCGTGTCCGCAAATTTCACCACCAGGCTGGATGAGGCGCCCTGCGGCACAGCAAGGCAGGGCTGAGCGGGGCCACGACCACATCCCCACCACATCACCCACGGCAACCCCAGCACAGGGACACCCCGCAGCCGCAGCACCCTGGGGATGCCGCCTGGGCTGGCCGCAGCACACAGCAATCAATGCGGGGTTTAATTACAGCCCTATTCCCTCCCGGCAGCTGCTCCCTGACCGCTGTTTCCTTTCCCCCTCATCTGCGGTGTTGACCTTCGTTGTTAATTAAACCACACCTTTCTCCCACAGCCCCGCATGCCCACCCCTGGCATGCGGCAGGGATGAACCCTAGGCGATCCCAGCAACACACCGGGATTGTGATCCAATTAGACTGATCAAATTAGCCGGTGATTGGATTAGGGGACAGCGCGGCCAGCGCTTACCGGCATGGTCTGGCTGCCGTGCAGGCTGCTGATGGCGGCTTGTGCCTCGGCATGGCTGCTGTACTTCACAAAGGCACAACCTGCAGGCAGAGGGACAGGGACAGTGACAAGAGGTGTTCGGGCAACGCCTCGCTGCCAGGCTCTGCTCCGTGCTCCCACCTTTGCTGGCCCCATCGGGCCCACGCAGGATGGTGCACTCCTCAATCTGTCCGAAGGGCTCGAAGAGGCGCCGGACATCATCCTCGCTCTGCTGCTTCCCCAGCATGCCCACAAAGAGCTTCCTGTCTTCTGGAGGCAAAGCAGAGCTGTCGGCGGGGGGAGCTGCGCGGCGCCCATCCCCTTCCCGTCCCCAGTATGCAGATGGCTCACGGAGGGAACAGCAGCACCGCAAAACCCAGTGGTGAGGATGCACAGCACCCTACAATGTGTGTGCATGGGGAAACCTCTCCTGCTGGGGGTGAGGCAGAGCTGGGGCTGTTCCTGGAGACCACAATGCCGTCCTGTACCACGGGTATGCGGCCAGGAAACAAAAGGAGCCCCAAAACACCAGCAGTGGTGTCTGTGTGACAGACCATCGGAACAGCCCGCGGTCCGTGGCCATGCCCGAGGGACATCAATAAGCAGAAAACGAGGGAAGGGAGAGTAAATAATGAGGAGTTCGTGATTACTGCCAGCATCTGCCTCGCGCGGTCACGCGCTCCCACCATGCGCTAATGGCATCTGACAAAGAAAATAAGGTGCCCTGTCGGAGCGTTGCCGGGGAAATGCAGAAATAACGGCGGGAGGCGACAACAGCGCGGCCGTCAGCACACAGGGAATCAGCGCCGGGATTGGGGCTACACACTGCTGGTTACACATCAGCCAGCATCTGCCGAGGGGCCCTGCAGCTCCTGGGCAAGGGGCCGGAGCTCCTATCAACCTGCAACCTGTCCTCAGCTAGACACTGAGTGGGTAATTTACTGCAGGTCCTTCCAAGGCTCACCCAGACTGTGCTCAGGACCAGGTGCTGAGCGCACGCACGGCCGCACTGCACACAGGGATGGGCACAGCCGGCCATCAGCCAGCACCCGTGGTCACAGTGCAATCACAGACCACTGCTGCGGTCCCCCAGGGCCATTTCCAGCCTCCGGGTTCCATCGGTGTGATGAGAGGATGCCAGGTCTCAGCCCTCTCCCCGAGCTACAGGCTGTGGCTCAGCACACCCCTGGGTGCCGCCACCCCATCGCCCCCAGGTGCCTTGGGGTGGCTGTTCCTACCTCCTCGTCCCTCGCTGTCCGCCGGCTTCACCTGGATGGGGCGGTTCATCTGCAACACACAACCGGCAGCGGGCGGTCAGCACAGCGTCACATCCTGACGGATGCTGTACACGGGGCAGGGTGGGTTCTGGGGATGGTTTGCCCCCGGCCCCGCAGAGCTGGGTGTGCTTTGGGATGGTCAGATGTCCAGAGCCACCTGACACCGACACGTGGTGGCTCCCGTCACCCTGCAGCGGGGCCGTACGGGTGTGGGTGTGACACACGCCTGGCACGACGTTGTGCCCACACCTGTGGGTGTGACACGTGTGCCCTGGGACAGGGGGTCAGCACTTCCCCATGGCTGTGCCTCCCCACGCAGCCTGGGGCCACCCTTCCCCACTTCTCCCCCTCCTTTTTCCCCTTTTTCTTCTGAAAAAGTGCGACAATTATGGCCGTTTCCATGGCAACAAGCGTGCTTCCCCCGCGCTGATGTGCTTGATAGGGTCGTCACGGCAACAGCCGTCACGCGTGATGGGGCACACGCCTGCAGGGCTGGCACGCGTGCAAGGAGCATG